ATATGTTTTTATTTTAATTAATTCACCTAAAAGATGATTGAAAAGATTGTAGTTGATTCCATTTGAATTTTTACCTGAATGATGAACAGGTTGAATATGATCCCAAGGAGATAAATTTCAGGAAACTTTTGGAGTATTTTTGGTCTAGCCATGACCCTAGGCAGGTTTTTGACCAAGGTCCTGATGTAGGTAATCAGTACAGGTAACCAACCATCATGACCCTGAATAGAAGAAACAATCTGACCTCATTTTGTAGGGTTTTTTTTTTTGAGCGAGCTTTGATATCTCTATTCAAACAGGTCTATTATTTTTACAAATGGGACTGAAGAAGCTAGATTAGCAACCATAAGCAAAGAAAGGGAACAAACCAAGTCGCGGACCAGCAGTGCGACAACTCAAATTCAACAACTTCAATCATTTTATCCTGCAGAACATGAACATCAGGTCTACTGTTCTACCACTTCTTATTCTTGTTTGAGAAGTGGTGTGCAAGTTTTCTTTGTTACGAGTCTTACGATCCACGTGTTGCTTTAAGTGTCCGTATGTCTGTCGAACATAATTGAATTTGAAATGCTGGTTGGGTTGGATGATTATCTAGATTTATATTATTAGGAGCATGCTTTTGATTACAAACGTTACGAACTAATTTAGGTCGATTGGATGGAAATGGTTCGAGCATGACTATTATGCTATAAAAACTGTGATTTGGATTATTTGAAACGAATGTTATCATTTCAATGTGCAGAAATTTGAGCTCAAACGCCATCCATTGCTTCTACAGCTGATAGGAAACCTGCCTGAAGAGGAGCTTGAGATATCTACCCTGGCAGCAAAACTGAACGGATATGCTGCAGAGCTTTGCCCCAAAAGGATTCAAAAGCAGATCGATGCAAAGATCAATGGAATTATTAGAAGGGGTTGGCCTGTTTGGACAGATGTATAGCTGACCACTGTAGTTGTGTTTCAGGTGAATGACATTATTTTTTGCATTTTCAGTTTTGGCCCTGGTGATATCTATGAGTTGCAGGGTGGTTGCTGGCGTGTTCTGATATGATTTTCCCTTAATATTTTTGGTGTGTGTGATGCGTTCTGATTGTTGGATTCTCAGATATCAGAAAGAATCATGAAGATTGATGAGAAAATATCATGAGAATGAAGAGAAGAAAAATGGAAAACAAAAAGGAGAAAATGGGCTACTTCTTTTATTGGCAGAGCTGTCATATAGCTATTTATATGTGTCACGGACCGCCAGCCCATGACCGAGCTAAATTCATTTCAGGCTGTTAGAGATTATCTTTGTCATATTCTGGGCCTTCTAGAAGATCCAAGTGAGCTGACCCAATCTATCTTGAAAACATGATAATTATTTAGCATTATCTTAGAAGATAATGATGCCAACTCATTGCCCACTTGTTGTAAATAGTGTAGAGCTCTCATCTTAGTCATTGATGTATTTTAATCCCAACCGTTCATTGTAGGGGACTCCAACTATAAAAGGAAGCTCACCCCCCTTTCATTTACACACCTCAAGTTGAGAAATGCAAACTAGTATTCACTCTCAATTTCTCTTCTTCCTTTGTGCGCCTATCTCTTTGTTTCCCCATTTCTTTTGGAATTTCTAACGTTCTAAACATTCTAGCTTAGTGAAGGTTCAGGTCACTTAGTTGATTTTCGACCTTGAAAAAGTTTAAGGCCGCACAAATTTACTAGCAACAGTCTAGCCCCGTGACAATATGTAAGTATTGCTACAAGAATCATTTGACAATAACCGGCACTAACAGAATGAAGAGATTAGCTTTTTTTTTCCTTGATTTGTAATTGATTTTATATTCGCTACTTTATTTTACTTGAATTAAACACTGACAAATAAAATAAAAAATTTTAAAAATTCAATTACAGTTAATTTTTTTAGGCCATTTGCGTAATTTTCTTATGACATTTGTTTGAGCTTTCTTGTTCTTTTGGGCTCCTCCAAATCACTTTTGGACCGTTTGTTTCTTTCACTTAAATCATTGTTTAAAAGACTAATCGACTGTTACAAAAGGACGTTGATGCTATCCGCAATACCGAATAATGCCAAGATTCAACCAAAAATTTCTAGCTAGGAGGGGTTATCAGACAAATCAAGAATAGTAGTGATGTACATTTCAAAAGACAATTTCATTTGGCTAAAAATCAAATGGATAAAGTATACAAACGGTACCTTACTATAATATATTGTTTTATTGAGTCCCGACTATTAAAAGTTGTAAAATAATTATTCGACTATAAGGAGTTGCTTTGTTGAATCTATTGACTACTAAAAATTACAAAATGATCATTCGACTGTTTATTATGTTATAAACTCATCATTTTATGTTAAAAGTTAATAATAGTTTGAGCTGAACATTAACATACTGACTAAGATCATATGAGATTATAAGATCAAATCTTATCATATCTTTAATGTCAAGCTTATATTATCATTAACTTTTTTAACGGAGTTTGTAACTTTTAATAATTTGGAGACTTAACAGAGCAATATCTGTGCTTTACCCAAAATAAATTCGTATGCCACCCATCAAAATGAATACAATCAAAGAGATTTGCCTTGGTTTTTTCTTTTTCTTTTTCGTTTCTCTTTTAGTGGGATTCTCCCATAAATTCCAAGGATCGGATAAGTTAAGAACCCTATTTGAAAATCGCTAAACAAAGCAAAGCTTATAAACATGAGCATAATTCCATATTCACAAGTAACTTTCTCTAAGACGGATGGCCTTATTCCCTGTCCCCTTCTAACCACTCAAAGACAGTTGTATTGAACTTAGATGAGAGAAACCAAAATATGCTGAGTGGTCCATCTCAAGCCGTGTTTGATTAATGGTGACGAGTGTCGTCATCATCATCATATTATGTATGAAAGTTGGATCGATCATGGCCATATATAAATTGGTAAATATAAAGAAAAAAATCATGGGTACAACTGTAAAGTTAACTTACTATAGAAAAAAAAATCAAATATGCCTTTGTAGTTATGCAGAAAGGGCAGCTGCTTACCCTCTCCACCTATGTTTTTCTTTTAATTTTCTCGGATTTTCAAACAATAATAATATATTCCGTGCCTTTTGGCTTTAGATTCAAATTATTAAAAGGATGTGTGTAATTATATATATAAATATGAAAACATTAATATACATATAATTAGTTTAATCTTTGGATAAATTTATTCAAATTTATATGTTGTGTATTCAAGGGAAATGTACTGTTGGGATATTATTCTTTTGATAAAGCAAACAATTTGCATGCTATAAAGCACCTCATGCACGTGTTTACTGGAGCATCTCTTCTTCTCTCATAATCAGAGAATCTATTTTTCTCTCAAAAAACAAACATCATGTTTAGAACTTACGTCGTTACAATTCAAAAAATTAGAATGGATGAACTGGTGATTTAAATCACTGACATTCGCACGGTGTTTTCAATCTAAACCTACGAAATACTATCCATCTTTACATTAAATTAACAGGGAAGAAACGAAATTAATGGAGGTCATTCTAAACTCAAATATTAGACACATTAAGTTTTGATTTTTTTAGTTTAAATATTTAATATATTATTTTTTAAAATTAAGTAATCTAACTTCCTTTACGTTTGATTTTAATTTTGTCTCAACTGATTGAGTTCAATTACACCAAATCTTTTGTTTTTTCCCATTGGCTACCCTTTAGTGGTAATGAAGATAAAAGATTAACTGGAACTCCTTTTTTTTTCTTTCTATGAACTGAATTTTTAATAGACAAGTAGCAGCTTTATTCATTAAATTAATTAGAGAGCACTGAAAAGCGAGGGAGAATACGTCCATGCATGACACGATATCCAAAGAACGTAGAGGATGCTCTGCATGGGATTTAGACGATGAAACCTTTACTTAATGGTTTGTTGCATTTTACGAGAAATAGTCTTCTTATAATTGAAACTTTAAAGCTGCTGTGGAGCTCCTTAAACTTGACTTCACTTTTAACGACGGAGAGTGAGAGGAATCGGAAAGAAAGAGAGCAATTTGAAAGTGGAAAAAAATAAGAAAAGAGGGTGAAAAGAAAAAGGAAGTAAGATTTGGAGGAAAAAAAAGATGTAAACAATCCCCGAGGTTAAACAAACCCTAAACATTGATGGGGAGAAACAATGTGAAAAAAGGGGTTAGAAAGAAGAAGATAAATTTTAACAGGTGTCTAGTAAGTCGAGCTTAAAGTAATATAAGTTTGACGATTTTCAAATAAGATTTTGAGCTTTTATCTTATTCTACCTGATATTAAGAGTTAGGATACATAGATAATTGTAGAAAGGAACATTCAATTGATTAATAGTAAAACCCAATTAAAAAAAATCTCTAAGTGCTGATGAAACGCCGGCCGTTAATGAAGCCCTAAAAAGATGATATTGGGTTCTTTTGTTTGAAAAGAGAGAATATGATACCTTACACTATAATTCCAAGCCTAAGCCAAATTGGTCGCACATCTTTTTGAGTTGTATGCTTTTTATCACCCATTGTTTGTCATAATTTTTTGGCAAGTTGAAGCCAATAAATATAAAAATGAAACATCAAATCCTACTTTAGATAATTGATTTATCTCATATATCACATGAATTTAACGGTTCATTTTAATTGGCTCATGGGCAGGATAAATGGATTGAAGCAATTTTGATATATTTATATACTTACAAAATAAAATAATAACTTTTAGTCTAACAATTATGTTTGTGTAGTACAAAAGTGTTGTGTCAATTTAAGGCCGACGACAACTTGTTGTCTACAGTAATCGGTGTGAGTTTGTTAGTCAAATCATTTGTTAGTTGAAAAATGCCAAGTTTTAATTTCTTTGAAAGAACTCAATCGAAGCATATTAAGTCAAGCTTTTATGATGTCTTTCCTTGGAAGACTGAATATGAACCAAATGCAAATAAAATTGAGCTGACCCACCAAATTAATGGGAAAGATTAAAATTTCATAAGCAGAAAAAAAGAAATTACAATTGAGAGTGCTGATTAAGATTGATATGGGTCCTTTTAAAAATTTGTTGTCCAGGTGCTAGGATAGCCATTGGATCAAAACTCAACTTCCTCTCCACAAATCTGGACCATTGATACCCAAAATGTCGTTTCCAATCCTCTTTTGACTGGTAGTGAGGGAGGTAAAGCTTGAAATCCAAACCCTCATTGTTGCACAACTTGACAATCTCATGGTTCTGTGCTACCAATTTTTCAACCGATGGACCCTTCGGTACGAACCGGAGCAACGCCACGATGTAGAATATTTCACCTTCCGGTAGCACTACCGACGTCCGATCATCCCACCTAAATAACACATTTTGAAACCATAAATCAACTAATATATTCAAGTACAGACAAAATATTTAAGAAGCATTCAAATGACTTAAAATTATAAGTTGTATATCTTAAAATCTAAATTCGAATATCTCATACAAAGAGAATTAGACTATGGCGTAAATTCGTCCGGAAGAAGAAGATCCTTGCTGGAGCCCATACAACTATGGTGTTATTATGGTTTAGTTGGTGAAAAAAATTGTTTGTCGTTTTCTCAAATGGCTAAGAACTGACTCTGAAAGTTACCTCACTTGGAAAATCACATTTCCCATAAAAAGAGCTACCGCAAATGACCAAAATGTCCAAGTGTTGTCTGAATTTGAAACAATGAAGACAGTTATTTTTTTTAATCAGAAATGGGTCCCACCCCGTATCTTTTTTGTCCACAAAGTACCTATTTCTTATTTATCTCTACGTTTGCTTGTACTCTAACATACCACAGCTTCACCAAACACCTAACATGACGTTAACTCTAATCCTCGTGGAAGGACGCGATCCAGAACTGTTGAACTCAGAATAAGATTGTACTACAAGTAGTTGACCCTACACATGCCACGTGATGAGATCCTAGTCATCACACACGTGACAGACATTCAGTCTGGGAGAAAAAAAGGGAGGGGGCTTACTTGCTTCGCAAAAGAGGGTAGATCAACATGGGCCCACCGACTCCATCTTTCAACATCTTTTTAAACACCGTGCGATCGAAATCAACTATGCTCGATTTGGATACGAAGATGTTCAACCAAGGGTGAGGGCTGTCCCAAATGCCGTTGGCTTTCGCGTGTTCTTCCACTTGTTTCACACGCAATATAAACTCCATGTAACTAACATTCACCTCGAACTTCAACCGTCGGACGAATCCTAGCCGTTCAATAAGTCTGCTCACGGCCTGCACCAATCAATGGCAAAATAAGGGGTAATAAAGTCATCTAACAATATCCCAGATTCCAGAAGATGATGGGCTTTTTGGACATTTGCGGAACAAAGGGGGGACCAACATATTCGGCCGAAACCTCAATGATCAGCAGGGATATAAGATTATACTGCTGTAACATTACTATTTTAACCTCGACAAGTTCCAGATTTCACGAAAGTGACCGAACCCCGTAAAATACGAGAGAAAGGACAGAAGCATCGCAGTCTCGTAATTAAACCCAAATAGAATGGGCACTTTCAACAGCTTTCATTTTTTGTGTCAGAAAATCCAATAGAAGATATATCAACTGTATGGCCAGTTTTCGACTTTCAACAATGGAAATATAAAATAATAAATAATTATTCAGATGTTATTACTGTTTTCTAAAATCAATAAATACTGACGTTTTACTAGTGAAACTCCTTTTGGATCTTGTTACGGCGGAGGATGACAATAACCCCGTGCTCCGCCGCTTAAGGCTGTAGTTACGGTGACGGACCCACTTAGCAACTGCGCCACAGTTTACGATTCCGGTGAAAGACTTCATTTTTTAATCTAAACCGTCATCGACGGCTACCAAAACTAGGTTCTATCTTGATCTGCTAAAACATGATGCAGGAGATAATTAAACGAAAGGAATTGTTACCGTTTCTATATTTGAATGGTGGTCGCTGTGGCTGTAATGGAGAGCCACTTCGAGGCAGTAGAGGACAGAGCCGGCGGGTTGAGGGATGTGAGTCGGATTGAACTCGTGGTCTGGATCCAACGGTACGGATGGCCAACCATTGATTGGGTCGTCACTGTTGGAGAAAACGAACCCCTCCACGTAATCGAACAACTCACCTTCTTCTTGAGTCACCAGAAACTCAGCATCCCGAGTGAATTCTTCAAACTCAGAATACACTAGCCTTATCCATCTTACCTAATCAAAGAAAAAAGAGATCTACCTTAAAATAAACCCTAAATTACGTAGTGTAATCGTGTCAGTCATGCACTTAAAAAATATAATGACCATTGACCAACCATGTCCGGAGCGGGTTGAAGCTTGACCCTAGCTCGGGTTATAATACTGAACTGGCCAAGTCCGCCGAGGGCACCGAAAAAGAGTTCGGAGTTTTGGGTTTCGGAGCAAACCGTGACTTCTCCTTTTCCAGTTACAACTTCCAATTCCGTTACATTTGATGTTTGGGGACCATAACGGAATGCTTGTCCACTAACGCCGGCGTTAGATAACGTCCCGCCCACCGTCAAGCTGAGGTAATCGGTCCAAGACCTAGGAGCCAGACTGAACCTCGAAATGCAGCGTTTCAATACGTCTTCCCATAATGCCCCGCCGGAGACGTCGATATAAGGAGAGCCGTCGATTGTCAACAGCTTGAAATGGTTTTCCTCCGTGGACCGCATGTCTATCACGAGCCCACCGTCGGCCATCGCCTGACCATTGATGGAGTGGCCGTTACCCCTCGCCGCAACCGTCAGATGGGAAGTCCGCAACGCGGCCTTAACGACCCGAGCTATATCCTCGCTCCCAGACGGTTTAATCACAGCTAATGGCTTAGCGGAGTAAAGCCCGCCGAAATCTTTACCGGCTACGCCCGTAATTCCGCCGTTTTCGATGCTGCCTTGGAGGTCGAGTAACTGGGAAATGGTGGAAACGTCGTCGTCGGGGGTGGAGTTGGCGTCGGTGCCGTGTACGGTTCGTCCCAAACAAGCAATCATCTTTGAAGACTTTCGTTGCAAAATGAAAAGAGTATCGCCGGTAACTGTTTTCTGTTTTACTTTATAAAATTTCAGTTTTCTGTTTCTCTCAGCCTCTCTTGTTTCTTTACGATGTTTTTACACACAAAGAAAAGAAAAAATAATGGTGTAAGAATTGAAAGAAAAATAAAATAGCCTACCAAGAAAACCTTAGTTGTTTGATTTAAGCTTGTGATGAATATAAAGGATATGATATATGATAAATATAAGCCTTGGTGTGCTTAGTAAATATTAAATAGTAAACTAATTTGATTTGCGAAAAATAAATATTAGTATATTTTTTATTTTTCAAAATAAGATACGTTTATTGAGTTTTTTTAAAAAAAATTATAGCTATGATTAAAGATACCATCACAATTATAAGAAAAAATTATTATAACTTATTAGTTATATTTTGATATATAAAATATAAATTTTAAATACTTTTACAAAATTAATATAAATGGTTGACTTAAATAAAAAATTCAAAAAAATATTTTTTAGAAAACAAAATATACATTTTAGATATTACAATATAAATTTTAAAATATATTATTTTAAATATGTTATAAAAAGTTAATATAATTTACTTATCAAGTCTAATTTGAATGTATAATTTATATATTAAAAACCAATATCATCTGTAAACATTACTATTTTTAAATTAAATGTGAATTAAAAATAAATTTAGAAGTGCATACCTATCAAATTCTATAGCTTATCTTCCATATTCTATATAAATTATTATATTTATTCATGTTTAAAGAGAAATTTAAAATAATTTTTATTAAAAAATAAATTTTTAGTTTAGATTTGATTTTAATAAAAAAAGTCTATGTATTTTTTTAAATTTTTGGCCATCGTTGGCGAACTATACTAGTACGATCAATTGGATTTTATTATTATTTTTACTTTCATTAAATTTATTATAAGATAATATTTATTTAAAATATTTTAATTTTTTAATAATAAATATTTAAATACCCTTATAAATGATAACTCGAATCTAAAATCTCTAAAGATAACGACTATCTCCTAATCACCTATTCAACCATTATTATAATTTTTTATATTGCCATAACTCCTTAAAAGCACAAATCAATTATTTAAGATAGCTTTTTGCAACACGGCCCCTCTATTTAATTAATAATTTAAGTAGCATAGATACTTAATTGTCGTTTAAAGCTTAAACCATTAACTTTTTTTCTATAAGTAATTTCATTTCATTCAAATCAATAAAAATTATATATAAAATTACAATTTGCATCGATAATCAGCTCTAATACTCCATTTACTGATTAATACATTTGAAGAATTTAATATAAATTATTATAAATTAATCTATCTTGAACTGTTATTTTGATGAAAAATATAAAGATTATTTGTTGATAAAATAGTCATTTGCATAACCTATCAATCGACTTATTGGTAAAAGATAATATTGTTCTTCATAAAGATTACGAGGTTGAACAATTTTATTTGTTCAAATATAACTCTCAATCATTTGACATTGAATGCTCATACACATAACATTCATGATATTCGGACCCAAAACATAAAAGAATAACAATAATCTCTTTACAACTAAGATCATTTGGTTCGTACAAAAACATTAGCAGTTTCATTTTCCCTTATAAAAGATAAAAGGTCATTTTCATCCTATAAAATATGGTAATTGCATTTGTCAATTCAAATAGTATGATTTTGTATTTATGTATTTGGCAACTAAGAAGAACAAATTCTAAATCCACCGTTGTTGTCTTTAATTTTTTTACTAAGATTTCCACCATGTCTTATTCATTTATAAAGAAAGGAGGGGCATAATGGTCCAGATGACAAGGACCATGCTGTCATTTTGGCATGCCTAATTAATTAAATTCATTTTAAATGTGTTGGGGTCATGGGGTGGCAAAGGTTGGACCACAAGAACAATCTCCAATTTCTTCACATCAATTTTCATTCATCCCAACTACATATTATTTTCTAATTTGAATTCTCCTTGTCAAAGGAGTGGTAAAGGTTTTATTTTATGATTGGTAAATAATAAGCCTAAAATTATTTATTTGGCATGAAATTTCTAGATGAGCTTTAAAATTGTCCAAAATTTTGGATTTTGTTAGGTAAATGTTGGTAAATTTTTTAAAGTACAAAAAGTTTATAGATCCATTTACTTTGATTTATCTTAGGGTAAAATACATTAGATGTCATTGAATTATGCTCAAATGATCGTTTTAGTTACTAAACTTTTAAAAATTATAGAATGATTATTAAATTTTTTTGAATAGTTATAAAATGATCATTACAATTTATCGAACTATTAAAAAAAATGGTCAATGAATCTATTGAACTATTACAATATTATAACATCACATTAATCGTTTTGTAACAATTTGATATATTTAATAACTATTTTATAGCTTAGCATAGTTCAGTGACATCTAGTGTATTTTACCTTTTATTTTAACTCAATTGACGCCCGGAACAATCTTTGATAAAATTATTCTTTTAATCCCAAAATTTGAAGAACTTTTAGTTAAAAAAATGGCAAAAATTCTATTTGGCCCCCATAATTTGGTAGAAGTTTCTTTTGTCTTAAAATCAAAAAGTTTTTTTGTTAATAAAATTATAAAATCCCTCTTTGTTTCCATTAAAAATTTATGATTCAATTTTAGCCTTTAGTAAAAACTTTTTGACTTCGTCTTTAATTGCACTAATATCGTTAAGATCTTATAAAAATCATAAGTTCGAGTAGATTTAAGTGTTCTCTGTTTTTAAAATTTTCAATTAATTATGAAATTATAATTTGTGATTAGGGATATGCATAAGAATCATATATTTTTAAGGATAATGTTTGATCGAGTTTGATTTTAGGGTGAAAAATCTTCAATCGACCTGAGGAAATAGTATAGTTATTCCTTATATATACTAGGAATAAATACAACAACACTCTCCCTTTTTCAATTAGGTCACTATTTTACCTAATAAAATAACATTATAAATACTTGTGTCGAAACAAGTATAAATTTTTAATCTAAAAATCATATCAATTTTAGGTAGAACGGAATCTCCTAAATCCGAGTCAAATCAAATGACAAATAAAAGGATAACATGCTGAAATCGACTAAAAACCCAGGTTAACACAACTCATGCTCATACCTATGTGTGATCCACTATCATGGGTACATTCTTGTGGGTCTTAATTAGCTCAAGGGCCCAACAAAAGTTGCATGGAATTATAAAATTCTCAAAGCTTAATTGAGTGATTTTGGTGATTAAACACTTTTTTGTACACCATATACCCAACAATGTGCACTACTAGGTTAGGTCACCCTCAATCTTAGCCTTTTGAAACCCTCCTTTTTCGCGTTTATATAGGAAAAGGCAAACCCTAGCTTTGCACTCTTTATTGTTTTCCTTTGTTTATATAAATATTAAGATCATCTATCTACATCCTAAAACAGGTTAACAGTACATGAAAACAACCCCGTTATTATTAAATTCAAATGTAATCTTTTAGCCCTTGATTTGCTTTGATATCCCACCAATGGTGCCAAACTTGTACTACCTTCTTTGCCTGATGCAATCGAAATCATGATCTAAAGATAAAAGAATAGACTGTCGAAATAAAACATTATACAGTGATTGTATGAACAAAATAAAACAAATCACGACTTAATATCATGCTCAGGTTTTTTTTTACTTCCGAAAATACCATCTTATCAATACAAAAAGCTATTTTTTTTAGTAAAGTACATCAGAGTTCAAAGTGATCATGGAATTTACCAATCTATTATAAAGTGATAATTAATTTTTATCTAACCGTTGCAAAATGATCATAAATTTTATTAAATTGTTACAAGATGGTCATCAAATTTATTGAAAATTTACGCTTATTATAACATTGCAACTATCATTTTGTAATAATTTAATAAATCAAATTAGAATGATGATTTGAGAAAATTTGGTGAACTTTGTTGTATTTTAACCTTTTTTTCTCTTTATATGAATGTAGCCTATGCCACATGAATCAGTTTGAGAATGAGATAATTTCATGCTTATCTAAAACAAGAACATAAATTATATATATATATATATATATATATATATATATATATATGAGATTGTGTGAAATTTTGACCATATCTGATGATAGATTTCGTGGATTTTTTTTAGGATTGTTTGTTAAGATATCCTATTCTGGAAGTTAGATATAATAGACATATTATAGTTAAGGTGGGAAAATATTGAAGGTTATGAGAACAAATAAAATACAAAAATGTCACTTGTGGTAGAGACATTGTTTGCCTAAACAAAAATGTTTTCTTGTAATAATGCACACACCTGACACCTTGTCCTTTTTGCTAGCCTACTTGAACGGGTTTGATATCATTATTTTTTTTATTTTTTAATAATGATGTGTTATAATTTTATAGTGATACATTAATATTATAATTAATTTTTTTAACATTAAGTGGTCAAAATAAAATAAAAACTAAATGTTAAGTGTGATTTAAAAAAAAATTATTAATAAAAAATTAAAAATAATAATTGAGATATTAAATATGTAATTTATCCTTTAATTTAATACGAAAATTGATTAAAAAAATTATGATTTTCGATTTGATATGAATGTATTAATTGTAATAATATGTTATATGTGTTGGTGATTGATCAAATTTTAAAATATGAATATTATTTTCAAATTTTATATAGATTGATATCAAGCAGCAATGTACAGAATATCAAGCGACATCAATTAATAAAGAGATGCTTTTATTTTATGATTCTATAAAAAATGATATTTTATAAATTTATTAAATCTTTAAAGAGAGTGAGAGAAAAAATCTTCAATCATATAATAATATTAATATTGATTTTCCGACTCCCTGAATTCATCTAGAGGACTCTCAGCAAAAAGCAATAATATGAACAATCATATCTCAACAGTTCATATTCTGTCCGTTCTGGCTATCGATGGCTTCTTCGGCGTCAAACCCCAACAGTTCATGCCTCCATGCTTTGGCTTTTTCTTTCGCGCCTACACACACTTCCTCAGATTCGTAAGTTTAACTGGCGCGCTGCTCATGAGGCTCTTCGTGTCGGATGTCGCCTAGCCCAC